TCTAATGATTTGATTAACGTAAAATTTTGTATATTGAAACTTTGAATTATATACATATTATATATAAAAATTAATATCATAACTACTCTAATTATATTTTTATTCAATGCTTAAAATTTTAATAAGTAAGAAAATCTGACATAAATTGTCAATTTTCATAAAACTAATATTATTAACTTTAATTTTTTTTTAAATAAATTTATTCTTTAGATTTTAAAGATTAAAAAAAATATAAATTACTATTTTAGCATTTATAATTAATGAGTTATAAGCATTTAAATATAAAAATTAGTGGTTATATTTCTTTTGTTTACTACTGTATTTAGCTTCAAAGATTTAAGCAGAGCCATATATGTATGAGCAAACTGTGCTAACTATTACATTTTCTAGTTTAAGTTTTATAGAATATAATATAAAAATATTATAATAAAATTTTAAATAACATAAAAGTTAGCTTTGAGACAACTTTTTGAATATTTCAAATATAAATTATATGATATTATAATTATTTTATTTTTGACAAAATGTTACTTTTAGTATAACTTACCTAATAATAATTATATTTTAATAAAATTTAATATATTATTTCATTATATTAAAATGTAGCTTCTTGTAAATTTAACATATATTATTATGTAGGATTTCTGATCAGAGCATTTTATATGTGATAATAAATAAATGATAAATTGATTGGTAAAATATAATAAAATTAAGTATATCTGCTATACTATAATATATACTATTATTTATCTGTTTAATAATTAAATTGATGTTAATTAGCTTTTACAATTACATAAAAGTCTAGATAAAGTTTTAAACTTAACAATGATTTCCATTTCTCTAGTATACTTTCAATTTTAGTATAATTAGTTTGAAATAAAGTTAAAGACTATATATATAGATCTAAGATTATACAAAATATCCTGTTATTTACTTATTCAATAATTGAGTTAATGCTAATTAATTCTTGCAATTGTATAAAAGATAAAGTTTTAAACTTAATAACAGTTTCTATTCCTTTAGTATACTTTACATCTTTAAAATTTTTTGTTAAATATTAATAATATAGTACATATAATTTCTTAATTTTAATAAAATATTATTTTCATATTTAATATATATTTTTTTAACTTTTTTATATATACCTTCTTATTAGAAAATAACTTTTTTAACTATAAATATAACATGCATTTCTAGATCATTATTAGATTATATTCTTTTTATATATTTTATGATTTTGTATAAAATAATTGGTCTTACTAATATTTGACAGATTACCAATTTGACTAATATTTTTAAAGTATCTATAATTTTATCAGCATATTTTCCTTAGAAAATAATTTCAGTCTTTATGTTAAATATCATTTGTTATTATTCAGTATTTTTTTTCTAATTAAAATATATATGATAAACTTATTTTTAATTTAAATTTATATGGGATCTTTGCAATAGAAAAAGGGAAAACGGCTGGAAAAAATAAAAAATGAGTTATTGCTAAATCTGAATATATTTTGATCTAAAAATCATATTTGGCATATAAAAGTAAAATAGATTTTTTTCGGCTGTTTCCCCCCTTTCTATTGCAAAGGTCCCATATAACAAAAAAAAAATTTATAAATAAAAAATTTAAATTTCATCAAGCAAACCATTTTATGTTTAAAATGATGAATTAAATTTAAACTTCTACTTATTTAAAAATTTTAATAATTGATAAAAAAAATTATAATCAATCTCCTTTGTCATTATTTATAACTATAATATCATTATATTATTTAGCTTAAAATATCAGATAAGTAATTTATCTAGTATCACATAATTTAATCTTTTATTTTTTATGAAATAATTTTTTAATATTTAAACTTTTATTAAATTTTAGAAAATACAAATTTTAAATAATATAAGTTATAAAGGTATAAAATCTTATGATATTTTAATAATTATAATAGATTTCATAAAACTTTTTAATTTTAATATATAATGTGTTTTATAAATACTTTACAATTAATAATAAAGCATTACAAGAATATTTTGATTTCAATATAATAGACTATATTAAAGAGAATTGAGCTTTTATATATTAAAATAATTTTATAATTATTCTTTTAAACAAATTCTATGTTATTCTCTCAATATAGAAATTATTTCAAAAAAATAATTATTGAGTCATTTTAGTATTAATAAAAATTAGTTATTATTTTACAATTTATTAAAATTCGTATCTTTTAATAAATATTTAATAAAATATATATGTTTCAAACTTAAAACTAAATTTATTCAAAAACGGTCAAAGATTATGATAAATATTTAAATTAAATTAGAACATCAATTACTATATCACATAAGATCCAAAGGATTTAAAATCTATAAGATATATTTTAATATTACTTATTATTATTTTTATGATTTAATTATTTCAAATTCTAATCTTTTTATAAATATAATAGAATTTATTTATTGTAAAAATATAAAGATTTTTAGACTATTATAAAGCGTAATAATAGGAAATTTAACATCCTTATTTTGAAAAACCTGTCTGATTTTAACAGTCTTAAAAAGGAATTTTTTAGTAAAAATTGCAAGTTGTATCTAGTTTATCAAATATTATAACTAAATAAATTAAAAATCTTGTACTAATTTATAAGAAATTTATTTCAAACAAATATAAAATAAATTATTAAAGTTTTTAAGATTAAATAAAATAATCAGGATATAATACAAAATCTTAAAATCCAAAATCTCAAAAAGTTAAAATCTTAAAACTTAAAACTTAAAACTCCTAAAAGGTCTAAAATCTCAAAACCTAAAATCTCAAATAGTACAAAATTCTAAATTATAATAAAATTAGTATGTCATAGATGTGTCACAAGTGAGACTCAGGTTATTTGAAAATAATCCTTTAAATATTTTTGCATTTATTTATATAAGCAAATTTCTTTGATTAAAATTTTTTTTCATTTATTGTATAAGTATTAAAATATTAATAAGATAAATTGCGATTTTAATAACTTTATAATAAAAAAATTTTAATAAAATCATATAATATATAAATTAATATTTTGGTAATATCATGCTGTAGTATATGGAAAATTTTTAAAGGAAAATTAAAGAACTTTAATTTTGTAAAAATTAATTAAAATAAATTTATCTTAAATTAGCTTCATAATGAAAAATCAAATAATAAGAAATATTGAAAATAGAATTGAAGGTTGGAGAATTTTTACCATTTGAGATCTTGGATTTCAAGATTTTGAATATCTTCTAATAATCAGATAGCTATATATTAATTATATTATAATAATTGTGTTATGAAATAAATTTCAAATGATGCAATTTTAGCAAATTTATAACTAATTAATTAATTTATTCATGAACTATTAAATGATTTCATTAAAAATCTAATTTTTATCAGCTGTAAAACTAATTAATTAGGTAGCATGAAAAACTTTATATATCATTAACTAAAATATAATATTAATATGATATAAATTATTATTCAAATTATTTATAATAAATTAATATAGTGTTATAATCAATTAAACTTTATTTTATCAATTTAGTTTACTTTGAAATAATATATTAATTTTGATTGAAAAAAAAAGAAATTAATAAATAATAAAGATGCATATCATTTAACTGTTTGTAAAGTTTGCATAAAAGATATGATTTTTAATATTATATAGTTAAAAAAATGAGTTCTATTATATCTATCATATTATTTATATAACATATTAGAAAATGATAAAAATATTGCATAGTTTTATTTTTAACGATAAAAATTTTTTATTAGAAATGTAGTCAATTTATTTTATATTCAAAAAATATACATATTAATATTTAGTATTTCTTCTTTTAGTTGCAATTATCATCTAAATTTTATTTAGCATAGATTACATCAAATTTTGATATACTTTTTGTGAAATTGTATTTCAAATCTTTTTTATTACTTTATCAAGTTTACAAATACTTGATAACTAAAAATTGCGATTTTAAATTTTCAACTCAACTGTAGTCTATAAGTTTTTAATTAGATTTAAATCAGGATTTTGAGCAGATTATGAAAGCACTTCTACATTTTAGAAATACAGAAGTTCTCATGTAACCTTTGAAGTGTAAACTAATATATTATCTTTCTGAAAAATAAATTTTTTTTAGTTTATTAGGCAAGGCAAATGCTTTGAGTATGAGAACTACATAAGTGGATAGCATTGTTTTGTAGTTACTAAACTTTCAAGTGAAATGATGGGACCTAATTTTATAAAGGAAAAATATGCCCAAAATATTTTTTGAGGAGAATATTTTACTGTTAATGCAATGCAATTTTCATGAAACTCATTTCTGGTTTTCTTTATACTCTTCCCTATCTGGATTTTTGAAACTGTAAAAATGTGAACTCATCTGTCCAAACTATCTTTTTCCAGTCTTCAAAAGTCCAATGTCTTTTTTCTATTGCTCATACAAGTTGTTTGGATTTGTTGATTGCTGAAATGAAAGGTTTCTTCTGAGAAATATAAGAATGCACATTTTTCTTAAATTGTTCTTGTAGAGATTGCCTTATTGATTTCAGCAGAAAATACTGTATATTAGTAATTTCTGTCAGATTTTTTCATCTTAATTCCTGGGTTGACCTGGTCATTTTTTGGATGATGCTCCTGATTCAAAAGCTGCGGGACATCTTGTAACAGTTGTTCGATGACATCTAATAGCTTTTACAATCTCTGTATTATTGTGGCCTAATTTTTTGGCTGCAATAATGCCTCCTTTTTGTGTAAAAGTTAATTCTTTGGCGAAACCCATATTACGTAAAGTTGAAAATGATAAAGATTTTTCAAACCTGATTTTTACAATATTTGTAACATATTAAAACACAACAATAAACAAGCATTCCATTTAGGAAATATAGTATAAAATCACACGAAAATTTGCATCTTAACAATTTTATTATATCAGTTAAATTTTGACTGTGCAATATTTTTGTCACCCCCTGGTATGTATGTACATATATGTTATTAGGTGGGATTAAAATATTGGTCAAAGTCTGATATAGTTATTTCTCAGTCCGTAACTTAACATCTGTTCTGTGCTTGCGTCACAAATTTTATCAATTTATACAGATGGTTTTTCTTTCTTCACGAATTATAACTGTTTTCAAATTTCAGCAAAGTCGGCGGGAACACGTATTAATATTGAAGATAATCCCGCACATAATGGAGAACAAATATCATTAGTATCTGTATCTCCTAATGGTAAATATGTAATCACGTATAGTAGAGAAGATCTTCAATTGAAGGATGAATCGTTAATGAAAGCAATTCTAAATGAACACTTAGATGAGATCCTGATGTGACTGTTTATAAATTACCAGATGATGAATTACCAGAAGATGACAAATCAAGTAAAATTAAAGTTAATGATGATAAATTAGTTTTATATATACGGAAAAATAATATTA